AAGATGTTTTATTTGAGCCATAACCGTGTCTAAATCTGTCTTTTTAAGGTGGGAACAATTTTCTAGGTAGATGATCTTTTTTGATTTTCAGATTTTGTTCAAAGCAGTTCTCCAGGTAAAATCATTTTAATGAAATAATCTTTCCATGTCTCATGCCATAAAATGCTGGATATTGTTAGCGATCTGGTAACACTTCATAGTAAGGTCCCATTGTTTAACACTAGTTAATGCATCAATATCAAATAACAATGAGCAATGCATTTGTTACGGTATCTTTGTTTATGTCAGTTAATAGAAATACATTTGTGCATTGTTAGTTTATGTTAGACAAGTGCCATTAACTAATATGAACTGATTCAACTTTTGATTTAAATGATGCATTAGTAATTAACTGAAGATTAATAAATGCTTTAGGAGTATTTTTATCGTTAGTTCATGCTAAGTAATGTAGTACTAACAAATGAAACCTCGTAAAATGCTACTAAAGCAATAAGCCCCAAGAAGCCGTGCTTTTTGCTTTTATAAAACGGTTATTCCATATATGTAGTAAGGTTTCACAAAATAAAACAGCAAATAAAGTGTAATGATATTAATAAAAACAGTATTCTTCCACCAAACAATGTAGTTCCACAGAAACAGTTGTGGTTGCAGCAAAGTGCAACAGACAAACGTAAACAAAGGTGTATTTTACTAGAGTAATTTACAACAGCTTCGAACGCGGCTCAGCCAATCAGAATCAAGGACCGGAACTATCCGTTTAATAGTGATTTAATCTTACTCTCATGTTAATGGAACGTTTATGTATTATAAACTTGTATACTTTAAATCAGTGCATACTGTAGTATTTCACATTATAAGTGTCTAAAAATGAGCTGCAGTAACTGACATCATGTTACAGATGCTGAACTGAACCTGAAATATTTATTTTAAAGCATTTTATATAAATATTTTATAAAAGCATTAATATTTATTTTAAAGCAGATGCTTAACTGGAAGCGCGTCGTTTCTGCACCACAAACAGCAACAAACAGTTTTCAAACAGGTTTCCAAATGGCCTGCCTTTGCTCAGGCAAACATATGTCATAAGATCTGACTTCAGTGTGTGCATGTGTAAGCGTGTACCGTAGATGACGGCCTGTCGGTCGATCTCCCGTGAGCTGAGTGATGCCAGAACGTGCGGCTCAACCGTCTCCTGCCAGTTCTGCGAGTCGATCACGTCCTCGTCCAGAGCCGGCGCGTCTGGTAACAGAGCCACCGGAGCGTCCAGCATCCTACAGACGGACAGCAGAGAATGAGACGCACGAGCAGAGACAGAGCAGAACAGCAGAGCCAGAGCGAATAAACCTCACCTGCGCTGAGAGCGAGGCGTGTACGGCGGCGTCGGGTTCTCCAGCGATCTGAAATAACAATACAAATAAAGTTAGAAACTCAAAACAAAAGAAAAAGAAACTAAATTTAATGAATTTATTTATGGAAATGATCTATAATTTTTCTAGGGCTGCAACAACTAATAGATAAAACCGATAATGAAAATAGTGGTCGACCGATATATCGGCCGATA